CCCACGTTTCATTGAATAGACAATAGGGCCTAAATCAAAAATCCGGCTTTCCCATTCGATCCGTAATTTTGATAGGTATGTCGACAAAAAATATAACTTAATTTGCTTAAAAACAAGAAAGGCTGATAGGTTTTGAGTGAAATGCTCGAAATTCCGACAGTCCAGCTTCCACCACTTGGTACGCGAAAACCACTGAATGGATTAATCTGATTTTTTGCCTCCCTATGAAAGAAGATATCTAATTTCATTTTTTGTCTTCAGATTTTTTTCAGGTACGTTAGTACTTGAGATATAGGTAATAAACCACAAAAAACTTCGGAAAAAAATAACCAAAAATTTTTGTCAAAAATAAAATATCGTGAAAAATCGTTCGAAATCTTTGCCTTGAGTAATGTATCCCTCCTTCTCCTGGAACAACTTTCCACTAAAGTATCCGTTTTTTAGGGGTTTGCGCTATTCCTGATATCTACTGGTTCTGAATTTTTAGTCCTGATTCGTATAAAGAAATGAACCAGGGCCGCAGGCCCTGCGACTGCTACCACTCGATTTGAAACTTTTCATGTTACAGGGCCGAAGGCCTGTTTGACCTGAGCGAGCGGAGGGAGCGAAGGGAGAACAGACTGAACCTTGGATCACCTGATTCCACAGAGCCAGGGCCGAAGGTCCTGCATATGATTTCACCTAATTTTCACCTAAACGCATATGATTTCACCTGATTTCACCTAGCCTAGCGAAGTCGGCCGTAGGCCGAGGACGCTAGTCATGGATCTCCACTAATTGGGTACGTTTATGAAAGTTGTCTATTTAGCAAAGAATTCAACATTTCAATCATTCAAACATAGTTTAGGTCCATACGAAATTTCGAAACCCCCCTACATCGCGTAAAATCATACTTGTCAAATTCCGGTAGCTGATTTTGTTTTTATTTTAAATTTTTATTGAATTTCACCTCAAAAAACTCTCTGGGATAATCATCTTTTTATAAGTATCGAAACTTCAAAAATTTTCATAAAAATTCAGAATTTGGAAATTTCATAAACTGAACCGGACCGGAGAATTTTCAATTTTGACCCGGTCCGGCCTGTGACAAGAATTCCTAAAATTTTTACAATATTGCAAATGGCGTAGACGTAAATTAGACAAGAAACTGTGTAGATGTCATCTAGAAAGGTCATAAAAGGGAAGCGATCGTCTATTTGATGACAAGGAGAAGGGTGGATAATAAATAGTTTATGGGCAATGTCATTGGACTTTAAAAGGAATCTCTCTGTCTAACATTGGGGGCAAAAGGGAAGCCATCTGTCAATAGGAACAGGCGGAAAAAGAAACATTTTAGGGGGTTTTAGGAGACATAATTATCGTCTTATTTGCGCAATATTTTCAAAAGAGTTGTTGGTAGGGGATTATGGGAGAAAAGTTCGAAAAACTCAAAAGTGGTGTTTGATTGGAGTGTAAACAACTTTTTCGAGGGAAATGAGTCTTCAATTTTTATGATTACTGTAGTCTCTAAATACATATTTTTGAAAATCTCCACTAAAGGATGGTTGATAGCGAGGGATAAAAGGAACAAATCTTTTAAAAATTCAGAAATGCTCGAAATCTCAAATTCAGAAATAGTAGAAAATTTTAGGATTCCGAAATTTCCAAAATTCAGATTCTGAAGTTCGGAAATTACAAAATTAAAAAACAACCAAGTTGAGAAATTTAAAAAATTGAGGATTCAGAACTCAAAAAATTCGAAAATTCTGACATCTAGAAGTTAGAAAATTGAGAAATTCAAAAATTCACAAATTCTGAATTTCGGAAGTGAGAAAATTCGGAATTTCTCAAAATCTCCAATTCTCAAATGGAAAATTCAAACATTCGAAATTTCGAGAATTACCACATTCTGAAATTCGAAAACTTAAAAATCCTTAAGTTGGGAAAATTGAAATTTAGAAATTTTTTAAAAATCGACAATTCAGAACTTCGGGAATTCAAAAGTCCAAAAAAAAATCAGAAATTCAAAAACCTAGTAAATAAGCCCGAATCTGAAAATTGAGATATTCAGAAATTTGAAAGTTATCAAGTTCGAAAATCCGGAAATTCGAAAATTTTTTTGTACAGGAAAAAACCTAAAACAGGAACATTTCTCGCCTATTTATTGACCAAAAAGAGAACGGTCTTTTCTCTTTCAAAAGCAAACAAAAACGGTTCTTTTCTTTTAAAGGAATACATTGAAAATAAGAAAAGGGGAGCTCTGTTCTTATTATTTCTTTACAATTCTCGTATTTCCTTTCTTCGTCTTCTACCCGAAATTTCGAGAAGCTGCTCTTTTGAATTCGTGTTTTTTAAAATAAAACAAGGAAAATTTCGAAAGTAATGTACTACGAAGGAAGATCCCAAAAGTTCTGGTTACTTTTGAAACGAAAACGAAGGAAAAAGACAAATTGCATTTCGGAAGACAAGCTACTCTTCCTCCCCTTCCAAATCGAATTCAATGAGATTAGACTCACTGACTAACTTCTTTTTCATTTCATTCCCCTGAAAATTGGAATGGAACCATTGGAAAGGGGATAAAATATTCGTTCTCTCCTTACGACTACATATACATAATTTATGCTTTTTCGAAATTTTTACGTTTTTTTTTTGGATTTTGTAGATAATTTTGAACCAGGGATGTTTGAAACGGAATTCGGAAATTTGAAAATTCCAAGAATTTTTCCGACCGGAAGAATTCCGAAGTTTTGAAAATAGGAATTTTTCGAAATTTCAAAATTTTAAAAATCGGTATTCTCCAAAAGTTCCGAAATCAAAAAAAATCTGAATTTTTTGAAATTTTCAAAATTTTCCGAAAATACAGAAAATTTAAAATTAACAATCAGCATTTTCCGGAAGTTACAAAATTTTAAAAATTGGAATTTTCCGAATTTTCCGAAATTTTCAGCATTGGAGTTTTCGGAAAATTCGGAAACTTCGAAAGTCCTAAAAATAGGCATTTTTCCGAAAATTCTAAAATTTTAAAAACCGGGATTTTAAGAAAACTCCGAAATTTTGAAAAATCGTAATTCTCCGAAAATTCCGAAATTTTGAAAATCAGAATATCACGAAATTATCAAATTTCCGGAATTTTAAAAATTAAGATGTTCCGAATTTCACGAATTTCACGAAATTCCGAAATTTTGAAACTTCTGAAAAACTCCGGGAAGTCTATTCCGAACTTCTCTGCATACCGTATCTTATCAGAAGTTGAAATTGAAGATTGTAAAAAATCTATTATACTATTAAAAAAATCTATTCTACTATTCTTGGCTTAATAAAATGAAACTTTTTGGAAATATGTTACAAAAACAAAGACAATATTGTTAATGGAAATCTCAGAAAACCCACCCAAAATAAAATAAAAGTGAAGGAAAAAGCTACGAAAAGGGGGGGGGGGGTGAAAAGCGAAAGTAAGAGCGCAAATAAAGCCCTTTTTTATGTGATAGTAAAACGTATACACAACAACGCTTCACACCCATTTACACATGTCAGTTTCCTTTTTTTCACTTTGAATAATGTTGAAAAAAACATCGAAGTGGGCAACATTGTTTTGAGGGAAAGAAAAAGGAAGAAGAAAAACAAAAAAGCAATGGGGGGAAGAGCCCGAGAGTAATCTTGGTTCGGTTTGAAAGAAAGTGAAAAGATTGTCACAACAGATACCCGCTTCGTGAAACAAAACAATTGTTGCTAGATGAGAAAAGAGGAGAAACAAGATGAGCCCGCATTCTTCTGGGATTGCAAAAACTTGGGACTGATCTCGGGCGGGCTCGAACCACCGACCTTCTGTGTGTTAGACAGATGTGATAACCACTACACCACGAGACCACCGATAGATTAGCAAGTCGGTGGGCAACTATGTAAAGACGACCCGAGTCGCTGCATGTGTGTTTCAAGGTGACCAGTAGGAGAACTTCAAAATGAAAAAAGGATAATATAGTGAGAAACGAAGAAGAAGTCGAGTGGACACTAGGCTAAACGGCTCCTCAATAATGGGAAAGGAGCAAAAAGAAGTGGTCAACGGGACGGAAGAAGAAAAGAGTCCGAAGGAGAACAGAAGGTTTTGCTAGCGCAAAACTTTGTGGGCGGTCGTCAAAAGAAGCCAAATTAGTGGTCGGGGGAGGAAGGAGAGCATGCATTCCGGTCATGCCCTTTTCTGTACTTTTTCAATGCTAAGAATCACTGGAAACTTGAAGGGGAAACATACTGTAGACCTTTTTTCGCTTTTATGAAAAATCCACCCGGAAGATGGCATTTCTCACATCAAATTGTCTCGAAATGAGTGAAAATGTCAAGAGAATAAGGGAAAAGGGAGGATAAGGATAAGAAGAAAAAGAAGTAAAATAAATTCTCAAGAGACTCGAAGAAGAAAAAGCTATCAGAAAATGAGGGAAAGAATATGCTCCCGTCAGGATGAATATGTGTCATAAATGGCTAGGAGTGTATTTGACATTCCGTTTGACGTGCTAATTCGATTGGAAACTGAGCCGGTTAGAGACAATAGCAGATGAAGAGACGCAGAGAAATTGGAGCAGGGAGAAGCTCAGGAGTAATGAAAACTTCTGGGAGGGGTAGCTTTAAAAGAGGCAAATGTTTCGGAAGGTACAAAAAGTTTGTGGTCCTTGGGGTACAAAGAAATTAAGGGGTGCAAAATCCTCCGTTCGGGGGTACAAAATACCTGAAAAATGTCAATTTTGTGCCCCCGAATCGTTGTATACCTACTAAAATCCATAAAAACCGAGAAAATGAATTCTAAAAATTAACACATTTTCGGTTTACTGTAGTTGTCAT